TCATGTGCGTTCGAGTCCTACTATAAGTAAGTGGTCCAGACACCACTAGAATTCTTGAACGCAACAGAGCGAGGAAGTACGAAGTGAATTTGATTCCTGCGATGTAATTTCGTTTTGAAGTGCTGAATTTTATCGGTATGTTTCTTTCTCCGTAATCTTGTGTGTTGTGTACTATTTCTAATTATACATTTTGTTTCTAGTGCAGCAACAGATAGGATAAAATACATAATTCGATGTTAAAATTAGACACTCCAATAAAGAGACTGTGGGTGTTTGAAAACATTTGGACCCAACTGGCTTTTGACAAAAATCGTGTAAGGAGCTTCATAACTTGTACATTTCACTGATTAACATATTATTATCAGTATTATTATGATAATCAGATAAAGGCGTACGAGATGTGGCTGTGAGAAAACCACACAGAATTTTAGTCGAAAATTTACCTGCGAGACCCAACTGAAATGGGGAGGGTATCATTACAATTAATTTTAAGGACATTTATTTTTAATTTATGTGGTGGATTCATCTTACTCAGAACAGAGATTAGTGGCGAGTTCTTGGTAACATTTTAAGGATAATTCGTAATAGATTTACGAGAGAAAAACCTTTGTTTAAATAGTTCCCTAACAAGATATGTTCGGTGTTGAAGGATTCGACTGACAAGGACACTTGTACTCCAGTCTGCATATTTAACTAGGTTTTATTATTTTATCCTCTATTTTTATATTACATTTTAATTTCTATGCGCTCAGGCGATGCTGTTGGCTAATATCTCATACGTGGAGTCTGGGGCGGCCTCCGCGCCCCAAGGAGAACCTGCGGATGAAATTACTGCGAAAGGCTCATCCAAAGTTTTAACGACACGACACCGCAATCAGTGACAGTCCCTACCCCTATGCTAACCACCTACAAGTCTATACGGAATCATAATTCCATAGACACACTCAAAAATTTACCGTCTATCTTAATATATGCAATTTGTAGAACGCCCTAAAATACAAGATGAAAATACGAGAATTGTTAATCGAGGTATTACTTGTTCGAAATAAAAATTTTTGGGGTCCTGGTTACAAATTTACTGTGCCGACAAATGGACGGGAGAAATTCGAGTGGGGCCCTTTCCGAATTCGGTTTAACAAGTAGGAATATCCTAGGAAAGTCAATCAGAGTTTTAAATATATAATCGAATTAATTACGAATAATAAACAACTCAATGACGCAAAATATTAACAATATTGGTTAACAAATTACCCGCCTTTTTATGAAACTGAACGTCCATTCCCTTGTTCACGAGAACCCGGCACCGGTTACTATCTAAGCCAGATGGATCCAATCCATCCCGTCTAAAAATGTTGTTTTTTGTCTCATAAAAAATAATAAATTGGTGGTTGGTGCTGTCTTTGAACCACAATGATCTTCGTTCGTCATTCTCCAATATTTGCGTTGTAACAAGCCGTCAACACTAACGCATTTCTCACTAACTTTCTAGAGGCTTCCAGCTAGCAGGGCGGACATCACACGAAGAGCATCTCAGTACCGCGCGGCAAGACCACATGACAATCCGTTTACCGTTGCGCGGCTAACGGAACACCACCAGTCTTCAGCGTTACGTCATCATAATCCACACTGACAAACCAGAGCTCCAACATCAAACTGTGTCATTTACATACACATAACTTATATCAGGAATTTAAGGAATAATCAGATCTTAAAATAGTTTAATTTCGAGAGGTGGAATGATGTTGGCACGATCTGAAAAATCACAGTTTGTGACGACGGAATTGTTTCTTGTGTGTATTGTGGTATTAGTGTCGACTGAGCAGAGTGTAGGCCAAGACAGTATTGCCACTACAACAACAACAGTGCCACCAGTAACTGCAGAGAAGGCAGTGATGAATACAACCATACAACCTGTGGGCATAAACAATTTTGTGGCATCAGGAAATGGATCTTCTGAAGGAAGAGGCGTTAGAAAAGGAAAGAATCTACTCGATTGGATTGGCTTTGGTACTGGAAGTGACACAGATCCATACCTGGCAAGAGCAAATTCTGCTTGTCTTAATGGCGACTTGTCTGAATGTTTCAAATCTAGGGCTCTAGCCTCACTCGACGAGTTCTTTGACAAGGATACATACACATTGACAGACAATGCTCAAGTGATCCGTATGCCTGTCGTACACCTGAGGCAGCTCCATCAAGAAACGTTCGAGTTTTCGTCCACTCCTCGGGCTGAAGAACCAGAATGGGACCAATTCGTGAAGTTTCTTCTACGGAAGGTGGAGAGATTTGTTAAGTCCACGGCTATAGAAGTACAATTTCCAAACGAGGTCACCGAAGAAGGAAGGTATTCTCCACGATTTGTCGATGAGATTGCAACTGAAATCGATATAATAGAGGACAAGAATGAAAGCCCCTTCTGTGAGTATTCAGTTGTTATTTTTTTAGTTTAACTGTGGTTCAGGATCTGTCCTTGTTACAAGCAGCTACTCAGCTTTTCTAGAAATTCCCCCACGTTTATGAAACCAGAATACGTACATCACATTACCACTGGACCATATCTTAAAAAAATTATTGAAGTCCACACATTCACATTGTATTTGTTTAAAATTTCTTTAAATATTTTTCTATCATCTAGCCCTTTGCTTACAAAACTATATTTTCCTTCCATGTTATTCGACTAATATACTATATTTGCTGCATGTCCGGCCAATCTCATTGTCCTAGATTTAATCAAAATTCTTCATCATCTAATTCCCATCCTATTATAAAGAGTTAAGATTTTTGATCTGTTCTAATTCATAATTCTAAAACAATAAACCGTTTAGGTAATCAGTACTGCTTTTGGTTTTATTACAAAATTAACTTCCAATTTAGGTGGGCCTCTGAATTTAACGCTTCTAACTAAATGAGTGGCTTAATAAATAATTACTCAATAAACTATTAATTGACTATAGCATAGAAATTAATTTCAGTATAAAATAATCGACCAGACAGAGAGTTGTCTGGATTCAGTGTTACTAAAAATGTGTTTTGTTTTCATTAAAAAATTATTGTGGTAGATCTACGACACGGACACAGAACTTCCGGTAAGAAAGTCAGTGCCTCTCCACGTGTCCTAAAAGAGGTGTTGTAATGAGGACATACGCACGCCAGAGTTAATCTGTCCTTGAATAAAAGAAGTAAAACTTGAGAGGATTGTAAACAAAAATTCAGTTTATTTGAAGTGACTGTCAGGAAACGTGGAGAATAGAATAGAAAGCTGTAACTTTACAGAATGTCTGTAAATTCATTTATTTAATTTTCTAGAACAGAGGCTTGTAGTACAAAGCATGACTCCTCTGTAAGGAAGGGTTTCTGAGTGGTTGGTATCCACCACGAACGCATATCCACCAAGCCTTATGTCAGTTATAGAAAGGGGAGATGGTGTTTAGTGTAAACAGAATTAAATCCATCTTTATGTTTCGTCTCCGAAAATTGTATTGGTTTCTTTAAAAAAAATTTGATGCGAGAGAATGAAATCTTTCGGATATGTGAATTTAAGTTGGTTTCAAACCTGCTTATATTAGATAATATCTCAAAAACAGCTCATCCTTTGAAGAATAAGTATGTTCTCATATAATAAAATATAAAATTAATTATGTTTAAAATATAATTAAAAGTATTTTTCGGTGTGACAAATGTCTAACAAAATATAAGGGAAAGTATTTCTTTGTGATTGTTATGTCTCGTGTTATTAACCTTCAGACAAAAGACAGCCAATAGCAAATAATTTACTTCCAAAATCTATAAATTTCGTTGGATTACACCTTTAAATTGTTTATATATTGGAGCTTTTATTATTCAATAAATTCATTCTGTTTTGTTAACTGACTAAATTATTTAACGATGGTGATTAGGTTACACAGCGTTTAGTGAGACCAATTCTGATGATAAATAATGAGTAGCTAAGGATTTGACAGGAGCTGATATTATCCCCACATTCGCCTGAGGAACATAAGGGAGAGAACGAAGGCTAGGATTTAGTATAATCAATATCCCTTTTAAGATTAAGACACAGTTCTGAGTCCTCCATACCAACAGCTGCTATGGAACTGTTAACTCCTACACGATCACAAGGTAACTGTTCATACAGCAGGTACGAATAATGCATTTAGAGTGTTCTTATACGTTCGGTCACAAGTTGACAACAGAGAAATTCATTTGGAATTACTGTTGTCAATTTTATCTCGAGTATTTTTCAAATGCGGAAAGACGTTCTTCATTTAATGACGTTTACTATTAATCTCTGCGACTGAATAACGGGTTGTCACGGACTCCAACTCCTTATTGGCATGTGTACCTTTAAAACGTACTGGATGGAATACTAACTTTAGAATAACGGAGTTACCTGATGCAATCTCACGCCAGTTTAAGCATGTAGGTTAGCTGTAGACCTAATCACTACGTGTCTTACTGACGCTTACAGTGACACGAGATACTCCCGACTCAAGAAATAAAACTACGCCGACACTAACTCCCCTTTCAGAAGATACTATTTAGCAACTATAAACTAATTTCGAATTTATTAATTTTCCAACAAAAAAAAGTTATCTGTGTTGATAACGTAATTACAATCATCAAATAATACTCCTCAATATTACATTCACTGCACCCGACATTTCAAAATTCTTTCGTATTTTTATTTCATTTATGTTTTAATGACGTTATCGGTAGCTTAGATTATAGATTATAGCGTTGTATGATAGGATGATTAAAGTATAATAAATGAGAAAGAATATGGAAGGAATCGTTCGTGGTGTAATTTAAAGTACTAACCCGGTGATTGCATGGAGGGACTGACGAAAACCATTGAGATTTGAATTCGGGACCTCTCGAATACGAATACTTAAACACTCGCCCGTGACGTTATGTCTTTACCGGTCATCATCAACGGGTACTTGGATACAGACCAATAACACGGAAGGAGTTGTAATTCGTTTACACTTGTTACAAAACGATAAGGAACTGTGACAAATGTAATTTATACTTTATAATACTGAAACGAAACTGCAGTGGGTCTAAAATATAAGAAAAATGTGTGTAAGGTATTGATGGAGTACGTAGATTTATTATTATACAGTTACTCCGAACATGTTGTTGTTGTTTTTTTAAATTATTTAAGCGAAATGTTGATGGCGAGATTTCTTCGACACCAATTGTGTTGTAAAGCTAAAGTTACTCCGAACATGTTGATGTTTTTTTTAAATCATTTAAGCGAAATGTTTCTTCGACACCAATTGTGTTGTAAAGTTTACCACGCGATGACTCAGTCTCTTGAATTTGGTACGTACCGGAATTATATTCGGCCCAGATTCACTCCATGACTCGGTAAACAGATATTCGTTGGTGAGATCAGGGTTCGTTGTGTAAAGCCGAGATGTAGGACAGACTTTTTACTGAACGACTTGAATAAGACATGTTTTTTCACGAACCAATTCTTAGAGAAAGAGTAGTTTCCTCCACATCTGTTCCATTACTTTTATAAATCTGGTATATTCTGATGTTCGTCTCATGATTACATTGGTCTCACGACGAGAAAACAAACGTTATAGCGATAAAATTTGATGGATTTATTATTATTTTTCTTGTTCGACGTTTCGATACCCCCCTGGAACTTTGATCGTCTGGAGATTTTCCCGCTTTTCAGACCCAATGTTAGAGATCTAGAGGGAGGGATCCCACTGCAAAGCCTCTGTACAGGATAGCACAATACACAACGTCTATGCTTCAAGTAGGATTCAAACCCATGAACCCAGTATTCGATCAATCATGATGAACAGCCTGACCACTGTGATCAACCTAATATCGATTCACAATAACCAGTGTTGCGATAATGTTTTAACCAAGGACTCTTAGCAGTTTAAAGAAATAATCATTAAAAATATCGTCACTACACTAAGATTTTTTTGGGCAATTATGGGCGCGAAAATATAACCGTATTTAAATTTAGGAACGTGATGAAGGACTGCATTTTATTTGATTCAAAATTAATATAGAATCATGCAGATTATTACCCTGTTCATGCATAACTATAGTTCTTATATACTTAAAACAACTTGAAACATCGAAATATACACTATGAGGTAGTAATCTAGTTTTAAAGCGTCTTACTTTTACCAGATTTGGCAAATTATGCAAAAAATTAGAAAAATAAAAATCAAAAAGAATAAATATAATAAAATATCATAATTTTAATTATTTAGCTGTGACGTTATATTTAATCCTGACAGGCGCGTATCTTATTTGTCTTGGAGTTTATGTCTGTATGAGTCTAGGCGAAATTGTTGCTTTATTTAGAAGTGAATTGGTATAAAAAATATACATACAAAAACGTAGAGACGACATCTATATTATTGGTTTTTGCTTTGAACTCAACGATGACTGTTTCAGCTCGGACCAAGTTGAAGAAGCTGTTCATTCCGCTGTTGATCATCCTGAAGTTGTTCAAACTGAAGCTTCTCCTGTTTCTACCTCTAATTCTTGGACTCGCATCCTTCAAGAAGCTGCTTGGATTCTTGGCTCTCGTAATTCCAGGACTCATTGGGTTCTTCAAGCTTTGTAAGCCTGACTTACATCAAAATTATGGAAGTTACGGCCACAGCAGTTTCTACCACCAGCCTCCGCATCACAAGCACCAATACTCACCAGCTGGCCTGGCAAGTGGACACCACTACTTCAGGTAGTTTTCCGTGTCTAATGTTTCTAACGTTTGATATGGGGATAAAACTGAAATACCGTAGCTCGCTCTATACTCTAAGCTACAAGAAATTTTACTAACAAACAGAAATCAAGTTGAAGATAAAACCATAAGGAAAGATTCTGGAAATGTTTGTTATTTTGTATCCAGAAAACTATTATCATTTAAGTAATATATTTGGTTCTTACGGCGATGAATTTGAAAATTACTGTCTTCAGGAATGTTGTATCGTGGAGTCTGGTAGACTTTGATTGACGTTTTAGAGGAGCTTGCTTAAGATTGAGACAACACCTTCCTCTGAAACGTCAGTAATTGTCTACCAGACTGGACGGTTCAACATCCCTGAAGACAGCCACTTTCCTGTTATCTCGCTTACTTCCAAAACCCTGAAGATTAAAGGGGATACAGCAATGAATTTGCCAGATTTTATATGAGTGTCAAACGATGTTTATTATTTTTAGGCAAAAACATTAATTGTAAGCACCTGAAAACAATACTTTTTAATAATATTAAAACTTCAGAAGGATTAAGTAAGGATCATTTGAAGGCATTATAGAACGATAAACTTGGCGATTTATCCGGCATATAGCATCGTTAAACTAGTAAAATCTAGGCGGCTAAGAGGGGGCTTTTAAATAGACCAAAAAAAAAAAAACGCGTACAGCATTTTCGCAGGGATATCTTTTGAGAAACTTAAATTTTGAAGCCCCTTAAAAGAAAACTACGGTACAACATTAACATGAACTGGAGTTTTGCGACCAATCGTTATTTAACTCAACAAAATGCATACTGCATGCTTGTTGATGATGGTCGTCTTATGGGATGTTGCGCCGTGTAGTCAGGTAGAAGTTTACCGACGTTTCAGAGGTGCTTTCTGCCTCCATCATCATGATTATGGTTATGGAGGTAGTAAGCACCTTTGAAACGTCGGTAAATTTCCACGGCAAGCAATTCTAGAAGACAGGCATCATCATATTCACATCTGAAAAAATCTTAAATATTACCAGCTTATTGTCTTAAAACCTGTCATTGTTTTATATCTGGGCTTAAGTAGGGACATACCAGATCATGGAACCTTATCCTTGACGTCTGTTAAACCTTTTATTATTTTACAATGTTTTTCAAATAACTTACTAATACGATCCCGAATTGGTATTGGTATTGGTCGGGAAGCCTGAGGGGAAGAGACCGCTGGGGAGACCTAGACGTAGATGGGAGGATAATCTCAGGCGGGATCTATGGGAGATAGGAGTTGAAGGAGACTGGATTTTGTTGGCCCAGGACAGGGTCCGGTGGAGGGCTTTGGTTAATTCGGTGATGAACCTTCGGGTTCGGTAAGCCATCTAGTTAGTTAGTTAATACGATTCCAAATGACGAATCTGAAAGGAAATGCATATGGGTTGAAGCAATCGTAGCATATTTTAAGACAGTTTCAGCTTTGCCTGGAATGACTGAAGAAAATCACCAAACGCTTAGTTAAGGTGAAAATTCGAACCCAGGACAACTAATATTAATGAAGATCCTTGAATTCGATGATAATATCTTTGCATATGAAAATACACTTACTTATTGTAAAGCATTTCTATTGTTTCTGTTTCCGTCTTTCGGCGCGCCTTGCTTAAATGTTCGTAATGTTCCAGTGGGTCACCAGGCGGGCCGCCATCTTACTACGGCAGTGCATATGGGAGGGACTCGGAGAGCCAGTCCTCATCCTCACAGGACGAGGAATATGATCCTTCTGGAGTGGTGTCGTCTCCTGTAGCCTTCAGAGACCAAAACAGCGCGCAAGAATTTGCCTACAGGGGTTACAAGCATTTCAATAAAAGATGAAGTGTAGCAGTATAACTGCACACAAGTTACCTAAACTGCTGTCAGCTGTGTTCTTAATTTATTATAAATTAGTTTGGCAGAACACGAGACTTATGTGGAGTAAAAAGGAACTCCAAGGATTCGAAATAACATACATTGGACTCCATAGTCCTGTTTTAGAAACAGCGTTGTTAAATAAGTTAGTAATAAATCATATTTGTTATCTTTTCTGTTGATTTGTTTCAATAACCTGTTGATACTAGTGTCCAAAAATTGCAAGATCTAATAATATGTTATTTCCCCGTGGACGGAAACTTAACGTGGTCATTGTAACCCATTTACTGTATTTCTACGTTCATATCCTGTTTTCTCCTTAAACACCATTTCCACAGAGCAGAGTTCTTCTTGAGAAGCTGACACTCAGCTGCTCAGAAGATACTCCATGAGCCATCATGAGCCATACCAGTGTACACCTGCACAACCTAATGATGTAAGATCCATTTTAATAATATCCTCCCATCTACGCTTGTCGTCCAACCGGGTTTTATGACAGCGTTATCATTAATTTCTCATTTTCTCCCAAGGATCCAACATTTTTGTTTGCATATTTATTATCTTTCGGTTACAGCAAACTATCTTCTCTAGTATTATCATCACTCTTAATAATAAAAACAAATTAAGATCAGATAGATATACACAATAATAAGAATGAACTTAATGAAGGGATATATTACGATTTTAATTGTACGAAATGCATATTAAGGTCATGACCAGAATACTTCAACATAAAACATTGGCGGAATATACATCACATGGTAAAAATAAAAAAAAATAGGTTTATGAAAAGACTTGTATATATTAATTAAATAAATAACTGCAAAAATTTGCAAAGCGGTTGTCAGTTCATTTTCTTTGTAATGTTCCAAAAGGCGGGTGCCAGGATGAAACATTTAAACAGGCAAAGACTTCGTGTCCATGGTATCTAAGGCCAATCCACCTTATTACACACACCAAGTAACATATGTAGTCAATATACTGTCGTAAAATACCTGCCCTTATATGAATGATGATCTTAGATTTTAAAGACCTTCAACTAAGAACTGTTTTTGTAACCACATTCTCATGTGGAATTTAATAATCCATGCTTGAAATAATTCTAACTGTCCGCAGTGGAATTTAATAATCTATGCTTGAAATAATTCTAACTGCCCGCAACTATATATGTTGTAATTTCACAGTTGAAATAATTCACAGTATTGTTCAGCTAAAGCATGTGATTTTATTCACAAAGAATTCTGGACATTTAATATTTATTAAAAACTATTCTTATCATGCTTATTCTCTTAGATTTTGTGGATTAGGGCTCCTGGCTTGTTTCAGGTCAGAGTTAATTTCGAAAACTAATCTTTCAATTATTTGGTAGGATTCCTTGGAAGGGGGAATCGATCCATCGAAAGGCCTCTTCCTACACAGGATAGCACAATACAGGAAACCGCGGGCAAAACCAAGTTTGAAACATAATTCGAACGCACAGTCCAAGTCTTCAAGCCATCTTCCATTCCTTAGCCACTGCGATAAGTGTCTAATTAATTGTACATTCACATGCATGCACTGTTACTATTTTTATTCTGTACTTTTGTCACATTGTGTACAGTTAATTTGTTTCTTTCTTAAAGTTATGGAATATTGTAAGTTTATTTAGCACTGTAATATGCTTCTGTAATTAGTATTTTAATAAAGAAAATGAACATGACTTTAATAAGATTAATAATAGAGTTAAAACTCCACACATTATTAACCTCTGTACTAAATTGAGCTGAGTCGTCAGCTTCCTGCTTACCCCAATATAAACAGCATTATTATTGAAGATTTCTGCAATGACGGAGGCAATATGACCTCTGAAACGTTGGTTAACATCGACCAGACTACACAG